TATTATTATATTAAATAATTTTTTAAAAATTGCTTAAGTTTTTCCAAATTCCTTTGCTATAGTTTTTGTAATACTCTGCGTAGACTTACTTGATCGCGACATGTGATCATAGCCATGCCAGCGGTTAAATTGCGCACCATGTTACGTCCAGCCGTCCGTATCCGCAGTTCTTCCGGATCCAATGCGAAATCTTTCTTCACTATCTGCTCGCTAGTTGTAAGAGCTATCTTGATAGATCTATCGACAACAGGATGAATCCATTCTTGAATCGCTCTTTCGACTGCTGGGCGAACAAACTGCTTCAGATGAGGATGTGTTTGGAATAGGGGCAACTGAAATCAATATATCCATAATAAAATAGTATACAATCTTACGGATAAGGATATAGCTTGTAATATATGCTATTTTTAAATTGTATGTCAATTATAAAAGGTAATTTGAGAAGAAATACTTTTTGTCGAGAGAAGAGAAAAGAATGATAAAAAAGAGAGATCAATTCAAAAGAAATAGAGAAGGATGATAATAAAAATATCAATAAAACAAGCTTTTTCATACTTGATTGTTAATAGTAATGTGCTGCGAAATATTGGCGATGCCTGTTACAGATATATCCATATAATTGAATCGTGGTTCAGGCGCGCCGCCGGTCGGCAACGAGGGTGTTGTATTCGCGGGTGGCGCGGATTGAGGATTGATGACGGCGCCGCCGCTCGTTGTAGTTCCGACCAATTCCTCTATAGGCCCCTGAGATTGTTGTTGATTGCTAGTAGTTTCCGATTTCTTGTTCGGATGCGATAACTGATATTCTAAATTACGCAATTTTTCCGGATCTTTCAGATAAATGACTGGTTTCAGTTCCTATGCAGAACCAAAAGTCGATTTTTAATTTTTATATATAAAATCGAATCGAATGATATACTGCTGTAAAATCAATCACATGGCTCTCTTACCCCGACATCAATGCTCAGATTCTTGCAAAGTACTTCTATCTCAAACTTTAAATTTAATTTCAGATCAGGTTCCTGATGTAATTCAGCTAGAACATTCATAATCGCCATAGTCCAGGGATTGGGTGGACGAAAGACACGACTTTTCGCACAACTCTCAAGTACTTTCGCGACAAAGGGCACTACATAAAGTAGTTCTTGTTGCCCTTTGTGATATGCTTCAACGAGTAAACTTTTTAAATCTATGTCTATCTGTTAGATAATTAAAATTCAATAACATTTATACAATACATAATGACGACATTATAATACACATGGTGTTTGCACTGATAATGATATACCTGCAAAATAGGCTTATTCCTGCCAAGTGTTAACATTCCGAGCCAATGTCCTAAATTCTTTAATAGCGACCGATCCGAGAAATTAGCTATTCCCTTATCGCTTCGTAAGAGAACCTAAGAAAAAATAAAATTTATGTAAACATTTACAAGAAAAATTCATGAAATTTTTCTCAACCATTCATAGACTAGAAAAGATATGTTGATTCTTAATTTTCCTTAATTCGAATACAACCAGCAAATGATACAATGAAATAAAAATGAGCTAGAATTTTTCGTAGATCCATTCATTTATTTACTACCAACTATTGCTATTACTACAAAAATACCACAGAATACATCACTCCACCTACCTTGATATTTCGAAATGTCTCTCTCGTGACCATTTTATTCACCTCAGGTAATTTGATACAATCCAAAAAATTCGAGTATAAGGCATGAAAATTCAACTCTATACTGGCACGTTTCATTACTAGATATTGCGCCATCCACGGCCAATATTCCTCCGTGACAATCTCGCGAATTTCGTCACATTTCTGTTGCAGATTCAACTGACTGAGATTATTGAAAATGAAAGCCGTTTTGTCCTGCAAAGCTTCTGGCGGCGTCGTGATTTTTTCCTCTTTATCTGTCGCCACGAGCAACGTATCGATATTAGTTGCATTAGCGACCGAAGGCATAGAGGGCTGCGAGAGAAATCGTGTTATGGAATGAGATTTTTACACCAAAAAGATATCGAGAAATTTTATTTATTGAACTTACTCTGGCCGAAAGAGATGTAGTCGGAGTCGTGGACGGTTTCGCTTGTGTAGTGCTGGTTGTGACGGTAGTCGTAGTCATGGTCTTATAAGGAGTCGTGACCGGAGCCAACATAGCCGCCAAAGTTTTCGGAAGAACTGGGCCTTGAGGTCTCGACGGTGGCTCCTGTCCTTGCAATCCGTATTCTATATACTCTATCAGATGCTGCGGGAACTCGTTGAAATGCGGAATCGTTCTAACATGTTCGCAATATGTTTGGTAATCTTTCAAACGGCTCTTGAATCGATCCAAGGCCGTTATACCGAAATAGTACATTTTGCTAGCCTCCGGTTTCTTGAGCGCGTCGAGGACAAATCTTAGCGCCAATCCGAGAGTCATGTAACTGTTGACGAGACCTCTCTCGATAATTCCACCGAACAATTGCGCCGTTATCTGCAGTTCTTTCTCCGGATATTGCGGGAAAAATCTATACTCTTCGAATAAATTTCGCAACATACAATTAAACACCTCTCTCTCCCGTCTAATACCGGAATCTTGAAATTTTTTTAACATATCGAGCACCTCGTCGATCGACAAAGTCGGGTGTGGCGGATGATTGTATATACGTTGAAAATAGCTGTTTGCCTCGTCCTCGACCTCTTTGGATACATTTTGACCCATGTCCGGGAACAGATTCGAGGTTTCCGGAATTCTCGCTTTCTCGATACCGGTCGGCGGTCCGAGACGTCCCAATCCGCCTATCGTACCACCAGGAAGTACGGACGGTCCTTGAGTACCAACTGGACCCGAGTGTAGTTGCGAGGATAAGGGCAATATGGAGAACGGACTCGGAGAAGGTCCCATGAGTCGCGAGGGAGAGCCGGGTGCCGAAACTAGAGGTCCTAGAGCGCCGGGCAAATTAAACGCAGAACTACTCGGAGGTCCGAGACCCGTGCCAAGACCCATAGTAGCGAGACTCGAACTGAGATTCCCAAGGGGATCTACTTGCTTCGAGGAAAATAACTGTGGAAAATAACATCAATGTATATAGTCATACGTATGATCTTAAATAGCACAAAATAAATAATGAAAAAAATTTGAAGGAAACTTTGAAGAACGTGAACAAAATAATAGCTAGAGAAAAAAGTCAGCTCCAAAATACCTGGCTTCCCAAAGTTGCTGGATTAAACGGTTCTAATCCTCGATGTCTCAAAACTCCCGGCGGTGGTGGTCTGTTCATAGTACTCTTACTCAACATTAGACTGCAATTCTGCACCATCGTCATTATTAATTCCGAGAGTTCTTGGGAGACACTCCTACAGTATGCAAAAATAGAATGATCAGATGTAATTTCTATATAAGCACATAAGGAAATTAGACAATGATAAATTATACAAAAGAGAAAATACCCAGCGCAAACTTGTAAACAAGCCAATATTGTAGTGAGCGTTTCCTGCGGTAACTGACTCGCTTTGGGAACTGTAGGATCTTCCTTTATACCAGGACCCATGACTTGAGGACATCGTCGTTGCAGGAACTTGACGCACGCGGCAACGAAAACTTCTCCGTGATCCCTGATTTTATCTGTCAGCCATTTTTCCAATTTCAAATATTCTCGTCGGGACGCCAAACAAGCGAGATCAATGACGAATGGAAAAGATGGCGAATTGAGTAAAGCAGAAAGAGCCTTTAAATCTTGCGCAACATCCAAAATTCGAGACAATCTTGTTTGATCGTGATCACCGCGTGTATACCAATCCGCCATGGCATGCATTATAATCGACTTTATCTTAGTATTATTGGCATGCCATGCGTGATGCAGTATCACAGCAGAATTTGGATGATTGCCGAGAAAGATCGGCAATAATGTGGTAAAGAGTTCCTGTCTCAGTAACGTGAGCGGCGGATTTATTTGTAACAACGCCAAGACGAGCACGTCCGGGCAGTGTTGCACCGGCCACTTAAATATTTCTTGTACAGAATTATATAAGCCTCTCTCGGCCATATGCAGAAGCAGTTCGACTATATTCAGCGATCGCCACGTTTGACCTTCTTTGCTATCGCTCTCAGGAGCTGCCTTCAATACATCGACAGTTACCGAATGATACGGATAGTCGGCGAAACAAAATATATCTGGACACTTGAGAATCTGTTGAATCAAAGAGAATTGACCCTCTACATTATCCCAGTGTCGATAGAATAGCTCGACGGGAAACATGTCAGGCGGATATCCCTGATGTTGGAGACCTAATTTAAGACCCGTAATCAATAAGCTTAAACCTTGCCTATCCTTGATAATAAACTCTGCATGGTCCAACTTCACTATGACATCGTTCCAAGATAATGTAGATTGCTGAAATATAAACATATGAAATTTGTAACCGCACGCATTTTTTATATAATTTAAATCATAAGTATAGAAAATATATTTAAAAGTAAGTTTAGTATATTTTAACAAAAACAAAGCCACATATAAAAGCATGCATATGTGCAATATAGATGACGTTCCTCGATTATAAGATCAATTTATTTTCCACAATCTAGATCGCGAATCATTCGCTTCTCCCTCAATTTCTTAAGCAGGCGAGTTTAAGTCTTATCTGAGACTTGAAAGGTCAAATTAGCTGCCATTTTTGTTTCACTTCTTGGCGAAGTATCGGAGAATAATTCCCGAAAAGTAAACAAGTTTGTGCACAGCTTATAAGATTGCAGTCATCGGTCTCCGAGAAACGATTTCACAACCAAAAGAAACGCTATAAAACTATATAACAAACACATATACGACACATAAAATTTACCATTTCTTTTAAAGTTTGAATAAATACTTCCACGTTCCATGTCGTGGGAATGGTACTGTCCGATGGTTTTTCCTTATTCGAGTCCTGCGAGGCGGCCGAATTACCCCAAAACGATTGTAAACCACCAGCATCGTCGAGGCTGCTACAACTGCGTGCCATATGCGCCAACACACGAGCAACGCATGTCGGCGGTATTTCCCTCGCGCCTAAACCCGTCAATGCCGATCGGCATTCGTCCACACTACTGGTAAAGCTATATCCTAATTCCATAATCAACTCCACCAGAGTATTGTTATCCTGAAATAAAAAAGGTATAAATATTTTGCAGCGTAAATGTAAATTTTTATCGATGATAAATAAATATATGACGATGAATAAAATAATAAAAATTATACAGGCCGACAAAAAGAAATTTTTGTCACGTAACTCTAATCAGAGTAGGTATTTCTTATTTAATTTTAAGATGAGAAATCAGCGATTTTTTATTTCAAAATTCAAAATAACTTCAAAACCTGACGTGATGGAACAATTTGGACAGCGGCATTGTTTTCTGTGGCAAAAAATTTATAAGAAATACCTACTCTGATTACAGAGTTACTTGACAAAAATTTTGTTTTTGTCGACCTGTGTTATTAATGTAAATATATGACGATAAATAAAATAATGTAAATTACTGATGATAAATAAATATCAATTTACCATCTGATTGACAGCCATGTTGAACTCGATCTTGAAATGTGGTGTTTCCCCGTCTCCTGGGTACAAGAATGGTGCTAACACCACTGGTACCAGTTCACGGGGAAAATCGCGCCGAAGGTTTTGAAGAAATTTTTCTTTCGCCTCAACGGATAAGTTATAAGGATTGCTGGTATGAAAAACTTGGCCAAGTATCAATTGAAGGACTTGAGGCAAAGAATCGTGCAAACCACCCTCGTGATGCTTGTTGATCGTCTCGGAATTTATATAATTTTTTATTAATTCAGGCAATTGCTTCTGAGTATGCTCTAAAGCTAACAAACGGATTTCTGTGTTTTCCGAATGCTGTAACGCAATCGCAAATGCAACTTCCTGCACCAAGGTTAAGCCGAGAGTTTTTTTTAAATTGACAAAAAACTTTGGAGAGGAATTCAACGACTGAAAGGAAATATACAACAGGATTAGTGCGTATACTCTGCCTCGTAAAATCCATTCTTAATAACAGTAATATATAATCGCGCATAAATACCTTTTGATGATGTAAAGGATTATCTATAGCAAAGCACAGGTTAGATATAAAAGAAGGTTTGCTCAGTAAACTGTTGCACTCTTGTTTCAGCAACTTTGCTTGAAAATAATCTTTCGCGCTCGACTCTGACAACTCACCCTTGGAAAAGTCAACGCACGAAATCAGACAGCGCAAGAAATGTCGATCTGCTTCCAGACCGTGCCACTGCACCAACTATGGAAGGATCAGAATTAAAGCACAATTATTCAAAGATCTTCGACCTTTAACAACTTTAACAATAATACATCACAGCACTCTGTTTTAATATATATATTTTTGTTACAATGAAAATTTCACGCGTCCAATGCGTTATAAATAACATATATTTTCGAATTAAAATTATAATTTCGGAGGATCTCGATAAAGAACCGGATATACATGTCGTGTTCTTAGACGAAAGAATAAAAGAAGCTTGTTTAAGACAAGGTTAAGATAGAAACGGGAGTAAACATACCACGTCGACGAGCATAAGAAAAAACCAATCTAGCATTTGAAAACGATGTATTTGCAAAGAAAGTAAATAAATGTATAGGTATTAGCCGAGCAGGACAAGATCGGTCTCAAAATACCTGCGAGACGTTGCGTGAAAACGCGTGCGAGTCGACGAACACAAGCTATTACGTACCGATATTATGCTGTATATCGGTAAAATTGCGAGGAAACGCAGGGGAAAGTTAAACAAACATGTGTATTACGTTTGCGTCTCACAAAAGGTAAAGGTCGACAAAGAACGGAAAGGGGTGGGGAACGGAAGTTCGCGTAGAACGGCCGAGGCGCGAGGGAAAAGAGGGATAGGAAAGGGGAAGGCGGGCGGGCGGGCG